GATAGATAGATAGATAGATAGATAGATAGATAGATAGATAGATAGATAGATAGATAGATAGATAGATAGATAGATAGTCATTGTTCAGTTTTGTATCATGTATGTTGGCATACTTTCTCCTTTCAGGTGTATTCCTGAAAAACTCCCACCATCAGTTAACCCATGAACCATCACTTGTGCTCATCCTTCCACTGTTTTGATCCCTTTCCCTCCCCCTCCACTCAGAAAGTCTGATTTACAGGGGCCTGCTAATTTCATGGTTTTATTTATTATTGTTGTTGTTGTTATTTTTCCTGATCCCTTTTTTGGTTACCCTAAATTCCTCCTATAAAGGAAACCATCTGGCATTTTTCTTTCCCTCTGGCTTATTTCACTGAGTATAACCCCATCCAGCTATACCCATGTTGCTGTGAATGATATCAGTTTATCCTTTTTGATTGCTAAATAGTACTCCACCATGTATATATGTCACATCTTCTTGATCCAGTTATCTATTTTGGGGCATTTGGATTGTTCTCCATATTTGTCTATTGTAAATAGTGCTGCAATGAACATAGGGGTGCAGGTATCCTTTTGAATTAATGTTTTTGTGTTCTTTGGTAGACTCTTAGGAATGGAATATAAGATAGCTTCCATTTTTAGTAGTCTGAGGATTCTCCACAAAGCTTTCCACAGTGGTTGGACCACTTTGCATCCCCAGCAGTGTAGGAGAGTTTCTTTTTCTCCACATCCTCACCAACATTTGTTGCTTTTTTTTAATTGTGCCATTCTCAGTGGTATGAGGTGGTATTTCATTATAGTTTTGATTTACAATTTCCTCATTGTAAGTGATGTTCAAGAATTTTTCATAAACCAGTTGGCCATTTGCATTTTCTCTTTGGAGAAGTATCTTTTAGAATGCTTCTGCCATTTTTTGACAAAGTTGTTTGTTTTGGTTCTGTTGAGTCACGTGAGCTCTTTGTAGACCTTTGCTTTGGTTTGCTGGATCATGTGAGCTCTTTGTAAATCTTTGTGATCAGTTGTATTGTATGCAAAAACTTTCCCCATTCAGTAGAGTGTCTCTTTCTTTTGATTAGTGTCTCTTTAGCTGTGCAGAAGCTTTTTAAGTTTGATGTAGTCCCAGCTGTTTATCTTTTCCTTCATTTTCTTTGTTTTGGGGTATGTATCTTTAAAGATGTTACCGATATGACATACCTACTTTTTAAATTGCAAAATAATTACAAGAATAGTGTTAGTTAACACATTCATCAAGTCACATAATTCCATTTCTTTTTTTGTGGTGAGAACAAGTAAGATCTCTCAGCAAATTTCAGCTATAATATTATTCTCATCATATTATTATGTACAATCACTATGCTTCAAGTTAGAGGCCCATTTAACTTACCTATCTTTTAACTGGAAGTCAGAATTCCTTGACCAACATTTGTCATTTTCTCCCTCCCCCCATCACCTGGAAGCCATCCTATTCATCAGTTTCTGGGAATTTGGCTTTTTTGGATTTCACATATACATATCATATAGCATTTGTCTTTCTGTCTAACCTATTTCACTTAATATCCCCAAAGTCCAATCACACTGTCATCACAAGTGGGAGGAATTCCTTATTTCTAATGTCTAAGTAATATTCTGACATGCGTTTTGATATGTTTATTCATCCATCAAGATACTTGGGTTGTTATGGTGTCTTGGCTACTGTGCTCAATGCTAGAACAAACACAGAGTCAGATATTTGTTTTATTTCCTTTAGATATATACCCAGAAGTGGGGTTGATGAATCATGCAGTAGTTTTAATTTTCATTTTTTAAGAACATCCATACTGTTTTTCCATTGTGGCTGCACGATTTATAGCAGTGACAGCATAAAAGGGTTCCCTTTTCTCCACAACCTTGACTATACATGTTATCTCTTATCTTTTTGACTCCCTAATAGGTATAATGCAGTAACTCATGGTTTGGCTTTGCATGTCCCTGATGACCAACAGCGTTGAGCATCTTTTCATATGCCTGTTGTTTACATGTATTTCCACTTGGAAAAATATCTATTCTGTTCCTCCGCACACTTTTTAATCAGATTGTTTGCACTTTTCTTTTGATTTATATGAGTTCTCCGCATACTTTAGACATTAACCTTTTATCAGATATATATTTGTAAACATGTTCTGCAATTGTGTGGATTGTCTTTAATTGATGAAAAATATTTCCTTTGCTGCCCAGAAGCTTTTTAATTTAATGTAGTGCCACTTGTTTATTTTTGTTTGGTTGCCTTCATTTTTGGTATCAAATTCAAGAAATCACTGCCAAGATCAATGTTAAGAAATTTACCATTTATTTTTTCTTCTAGGACATCTGGGATTTCATGTCTTACATTCTAGTATTTAATTCACTGAGTCAATGTTCACATCTGGTGTAAACTAGAAGTCCAGTTTACACCAGATACCCATTGTCTATTGTTATTCCTAGGTCATATATATGCATGGGTTTATTTCTGAGGTCTCTATAGTGTTCCATGTCTGTTTTTATGCTAATATCACACTAAACTACAGATCAGTGATATGAGTTGAAAGCATAAAGTGTGATGTGTCCAGCTATATTGTTCTTTTTCAAAATTGTTTTTGCTATTTAAGGTCTTTTATGGTTCCCCAGATATTCTAGGATTTTTTTTTCTGTGAAAAATGAGATTGGAATTTTAAAAGGAATTACACTGAATCTATAGATTTCTTTGTATAACATAGTTTTTCCAATAAATTTTTACGTTTTCTAATCCACAGGCACATAATATCTTCCATTTATTTGTATCTTCATTTTTTTCATCAACGTCTTATAGTTTTCATAGTCTAGATATTTCAGCTTCTAGGTTAAATCTTACCCCTAAGTATTTTACTATTTTTTTATGTTATTGTTAATGGAACCACATTCTAATTTCTCATTAAGATCCCTCATTACTGGTATATAAAGAAATACAACTGACTTGCATATTGATTTTGTATTCCACAACATAACTGAATTTGTGTATATCTAAGTTATCTGGTAAGTTCTTTAGGTTTTCTAAACGTAATATATCATATGCAAATAAAGAGCTTCTCTCTTCCTTTCTGATCTGTATATCTTTAATTTCTTTATCTTTCCTAACTGCTCTATATAGTCCTTCCAGGGATATGTTGACTAAAAGTGGCAAGAATGGGCACTCTTGATTTGTTTTTGGTCTTAACGAAAAAGCTTTGCACTATTTCACCATTAAGTATGATATTAGCTGTAGGATTGTCATATATATCATTTTTATATTGAGATATATTTCCTCTATATCCAGTTTATTCAACTTTTATTGTGAGCAGATGCTGAATTTTATCAAATGTTTTTCTGTCTCTATTTGGATGATATGGGTTTTATCCTTCATTTTGTACTCCTTTTATATAATATTGATTGATTTGAAGATGTTAAACCAAATTCCATTTGATCCTTTTAAAATGCTGTTGATGGGGCCCTCCTTGGTGGCGCAGCGGGTTAAAGCACAACACTGAGAATCTGAAGTCGCTTTCGCATGAGTTCGATTCCCGCCTGCCCCGGAGGTGAACACATGGCGTGGCAGACCTCTCCTGGCCCGCCCGCTGCTCCCCTCAGCAGTGTACTTCGTCGATCTGCCTGTTCTGCTCCCCGCTCTGTCTCTGGTGAGGCCTCTCACCGCCCCTGAGCCTCTGGCCTGTACCCCAGTTCTGTATGCACAAATAAATAAATCTTAAAAAAAAAAAATGCTGTTGAATTTGCTAACATTTTACTGCTGACATCTGTATCTACATCCACCATGCATAATGGTCTGTAATTTTTCCTTTCTTGTAGGTCCTTATCTGGTTTTGGTGTCAGGGTAATGTGTGACTCAGAGGTTGAGAGGACTGGTATTCTTTCAATGTTTGGGAGAATTCACCAGTGAAATAATTTAAGAATATTAACTTCCATGACTTTTATATAAAATGGGAATATATACCTATTCATATCATGAGGGGTTTTTTTGTTTTGTTTTTACATTATTCTTCATTTTAAGCAATTTTTCATCTCGGTTGTAATCCTCATGGTATATCATGAGATTTCTATATGAATTTGTAAGAGAAGAAAATACGTATAGCACCCAGAGTCCAGTATTTATACAGTCAATATCAGGCCTCTGCCTGTATCCTACCCAACAGTCTATCAAACATGCTCCATCTTAATAGTCACTTCTACCTGGTTATGGTCAGGGTGAGCAAGAGCCACAATAAGGGCTAAGTTTAGCATGACCCTGCAGAAAAATTTCAAAGAGAATATTGTTCATGTACTCTGGTTGCTAATTGGAGTTTTGGTCCCTTAAAATTCAAGTTTTTAAATGCAGCGAATTATGCAGACAATAAAGAAAAAGACTTCTGAATAGTCTATCATATTTATTCTATAATTTCTCTTTAACTAATTTAAAAATATTACAAACCTTTGATGACGGAACTGCTGAGGAACTTGCGGGTGAAGTGTCTCTGGATGTTTTCAATGACTGAACAGGTCTTTCTTTATCTACATAAGAAAATAAAAAATTCAATTTTCTAGCTCATTTGTTTTCAGTTAGAGTAATTTTGTTGCTGAATAAATCAACAAAGTCATACACTTGGATCCACAAAGAAATCTTCATTATATCATTAAGTCAAATCTGTTACCATTTAAATCCATCTCTCTCTCTCTCAGGGCCCGGGCATGATAAAAATTTCAAATAACCTAGCACCAGTGGTATCACATAAGGCAATTTATCTAGTTCATACCAAAGTTAGCACCAATATGGAACAGAGGGAAGTCAAAAATATTTTAAAATCATAAATATTTTCTCTTTCAAGTTCCTAACAGCTATGTTTTAACACATTATGATCAAAGTCTAAGGTAGCTATGCTATAGTTGCCACCAAAGAGAACTAGCTGATTAAGTGGTAGCTCAAAGTGAAAGGCATACAAGAAAATTTAGCAGGTACTCCTAAAAAATTTGGACAGTTTAAAAAATAAAAACAAGAAAATTATCATTCAGAGCATAAACTCAGTATCTGGTATAAACGTGTACCCAAATATTTGGTAAGTGGTTAAAAAACAAATCTGTAATAGATAAAGCTACTGCCTTTACTCACCCACTACACTCGCATGGTGCTGTATGTATACACCATTTTTTTTAATAGAAACTTAGAGACAGAAAAAAAGATTTCTTTTAGGACTTCCGGTTTAATTTTTTTTTATGTATATGTATTTTCTTAATTAATTTCCTTATGTATGTCATTGTTAATTTTTGGATAATATTTGTTTTTTCCCATCAGATGTTGGCCCCGTAGTTCTCCCACCCACAGCACCCTGACCCAACACCACTATCCATGATGCTCTTCCCTCCAGGTTTTAAAAAGAGATTTAACCAAAATTATTGAAGTCACTTTAAAACAACAACATCCTTAGCTGTTACTGATAGAAAACATTTCATAAAATTGTTTGTATGTGTAAAATATGACATAAATCCTTTGTTCTTAATTGCTAGGAAAAGTGACGATTTCAATTCCAGTGAAGAAAGTGGCACCGAGTTTGGATTGACACAGAAGCTGGTCAAAACCGGACAATGAATTAAGGCCAGAAAAGCAGTCAAGAGCAAAAGCAGACACAAAATGACATTGCAACTGAGGCAAAGCCAGCTTAGTCAAAAACTTCTTATTTCCTTCCTGCTAAGGTCAAAATAGCTAAATAACAGCCTGGTGGCTAAAAGTTTCCCAGATGGTGGGCAGAAGTAGTAGCAGCTATGTCTGAGGCACTAGGGACACGGAAGGCCCTATTAAGCCAACACGCTTCCCTCCCTGCCACTGTGTAGCAGCAATGGGGGAGATAATTTTGCTTTTCCCAAGTGGGAGCGCACCTTGGCGCACCTGAAGTTCAGACCAGGAACGCCACTGACACCCCACAGAAGAGCAGGGCAGCCCTATACGGCAAAGGCTCATCCAGCCTCAAGCCCTAATAGTGACAAGGCTGCGAACGCCTGTTTGAAATGTAATATTCCAACTCTTGAGCCGCATCAGTCTTAAAAAAGACATAAATAATCCTCAAGTCTTTTAATATGTGGTTATCATTAACAAATTTTCAAAAGTTCTTATGGACCTTAAAAATCAAAGGTAAAACAATATCAAGTTATGTCCCTAATTATGACTAGAAAAAATGATTTAGTTAGTCATTTCCTACTGAGTCTTCATTAGGCATGGCAAATTCCACATTGTTCCTTGACAGTATCAGCCTGTCCCCATGTACTAAAATCTCCCAGAAGAGTAACTATCATAGCTTATTTACCTCTGAATATCCAGAGCCTATCTTGCTCAAATCCTTTTTCAAAAAAAGAGAGCCACTCAAAAAATTGGTGAAAAGATAATTACCCATAGAATGCAATGACATCCTCAGCAAACTCTTAAAAGAAATACGGAGCTGGACCAATCAGCACAGCACATTTTGCTAATGAAAGGCATAACTTTAAGTTCAGTTCTGGATCATAGCAGGGAGACACCAGGAAAAAACCTTTCACAAACTGTTTAGTTAATCTTTCAGCATTTCTTCTATACAGAGGAGACATGAGCACTACAAGTATGCCAGGTAGATTCCAAATACAGCCTCAAGATCCTTTCCAATTTTTAGCTGCTTAAGCAGATTTCAACTCATCTCAGACGCAGAAGCAAAGAACGCTGAATGGGAGGGTAGGTGCTGTACCACATATTCACATATATTCATATGTGCCTGCTGCATGAAGGGGAGGGACATGCAAGAAGCAAAGGATAAAGAAAAAAAAATGATACAGAGGACAGCAGAAAGCACAGGAAAGGTAAATAAAAGTCCCCTGGTTTTACTGTGTCAGGTCCAATCTGGCAATGACTTTTTAATCATGCAGATCTCAACTTCCTGTGAGGTGCTACTTCTCACTGGAGAGGCCTTGCACAGAAAACCACCCCAATTTCCCTCAATACCTACAACCTAGGTCCACTGTTGGTCAGCTGGTCAGCTCTGATTCTGCAAATGGACGAATGGAAGAGTTGTACACCTTCCCCACTTCCATGATCTCTATCCAAGGTCCCCACCCTTTACAATCCCAAATCAAAATCTATCTCAAAACTCACCTCTTTCTGGCTTTCCTTCATTCTGCCGTTTGTAGGAAGCACCAGCACGCACGGGCTCTAGGGAAAGGTGGGCAGGGGGGAATTAACACCAGCACCTCTGTGCCCAGGAAGAACAAGAGGAGATCCCTAAAGTACGAGTGATGAGAACAGCCACTTCTGAGTACTTCTGGTGACCCTAACTCTATGCTACCCTGTGCTCAAGTTGGGCTGCCTAACCAGGCACCACTAAAGAGGAATAAAAAGCAGGAGAAAAATCTAAGACTGGAAGTTAACTGGGCCCAATAACAATGAAGTGTAAAGATGAGTCTAACCAAGGATAGAATAAAATGAAAAGTTTAACCATGAAAGGAATAAAATGAAAAGTAGATCATAAGACACCGAAAGTTGAAGATGGGATCATGTCTTACTTATTGTCATAAGCAGTCTGATCTCCACAAAGGATCAGGTAGGTTAGAGAATCTCACACACACACACACACACACACACACACAACACAAATCAAATATCATTTTAAAATATCACCTTTAAAAATGAAAAAGAACACTGGGAAAATATCAGTTCCTAGGCTTACTGTTAAACTCGCTCATCTGCCAATAACGATGCAGATGCAGCTTTACGAAGTGTCTACATACCTAATACATAGTATATATACCAGCCATCCTTCCAAAAAGGTACAGAAAGCCTTTAACATTTAATTATTCTATGATGGACATCAAATAGCCATTTTTATCTTTTTTCTATTAACACACTTTAGGGATTATTTTAGCATTGTAAGCCCTTACATTTAAAAAGAGTTTCAAGAAATATCACACACATATCCTACTTTTGCTAGCTTATTGTTGAAGACTTCAGGTCTCATTATTCACTGATCGGACATCAGAAAAATTTTTGCTCCTAAGCAACTTACTTGTTTTTAAGGATGCTGTGAATACTGTTACTGCTTATATCTTCTTGGTTTCAGCCAAATCCTTAGTTCACTATAGCCAGTTTTCAGTCTTAAATGCATTTATTTCATATACTTAATTCATTTTCATAACTTTATTTCCCTCTGACACAAAATTCTCCACCCATTTACTTAATCCTGTTTTATTACATGTTTATCTTGCTAACCTGCCTCAAATTCTTTGTATATCAAGAGGCTCGAATAGTGGTATTTTTCAGAAGTGTGTGAAGTCTGAAGCTGACTCAAACAGCAGTGAGTTCCCCCAGATCTCTTCCAATCTCAGGATTCAATGACTCCACACTGGTAACCTGAAACCAGTCATATGGTCTATCAAGCTCATGGCAATGAGAAAAATCCACAGAACATTTATTTTCCTCTTGAAAAGTCAGTTTATCAACATACTGCTGGTGCTGTGCTCACTGATTTAGATACCAATTTCAGAGATTCTACAGGAATTTCCATATTTAACTAAAGATTTTGATCCCTGCTATCTTAAACAAGCAGAAGCTATATAGTGATATCCTCACAGAAGAGACAAACCACACAAATAAACAGTGCAGGACCATCAATAAGTGGCTCCTTTAATCCAGTAAGATTTACAATATTTTTTAACACAACAGGAAATAGTAAAAGCCCCATTGTGTTTTAACTCTCATCTCAGAGTTCTCAACGATCTTTATATTAAAACTAAGGACCTTTCTTTTTGTGCTCTATTACAGCACTTTATGATTCATAAATAAGCTTCCTTACTACTTAGTAATTTGCATTTTACATCTCTATATGAGTCTGGATACATCCCCCTATGTCTTTCTAACTGACCTTCTTCCTCTTTGTCCATAATTGTTCCTAAACCTGTGTGTTCCTCTTGAATTATTTTTGTTCTGGTTACAGGCTTCAGCCAATACTATGAATAAAATATCTTCCAAATCCACTTTCGCACTCCCACTTTTGACACCTTTGTTCTTTAGTAATCACCTCCAACTTATCTAACAAGTCTTAGCAGAAACTAATTTCCTGTGTAAAATCAGGCAGAACATCTCACAGTCTTACCCTTCCTTTGATGTAATGAAAGAATGAATTTCATTTAAGGTGAAAGAAATAGATCAGGAGAGAAAAATTATGAAGATGGCAGCATGGAAATCAAAACCCAGTGTCAATATACTGGTGAATGCATGAAATAAATGAAAAGGAAGAAATGAAAAGGAGTTTCAAATACTGGTTCCATGGGCTAGGGGTCAAGGTCTACCATGTAGGTGAAATCAAACCTTAGAAAGCACCTCGTTGTTCCAACAAGCATTTAGAAGATCTGTAGAAGGTAAACACATTTGATCACTCTGACTATAAAAGCTAATGTAAGTAGCAACTGTCAACAGCGTGTGCTGACTTTCACTGTGGTGAGCCTAACCAAATGCATCCTATTACATGTTAACTACTGCTAATCCATGGAGGACCATAGGACATTGCTAGAAAAAAAAAAATTAAAACCATCATTAGTCATGACAGTTGCTATGTTTTGCAAACTATTAAATTTTTGGTCTAGTATCAGGGATGAAAGATAATTCTGAATTCAAGTGTTATCAAAAAACAGGCCCTCCCGGGTGGCGCAGCGGGTTAAAACACTGAACTAAGAAGCTTAAGCCACTTCCGCATGAGTTCCATCCTTTCCTGCCCTGGCGTTGCCGTCCTTTCGTGACCCGCCCGCTGCTCCCCTCAGCAGTGTACTTCCACGATTTGCTTGTTTTGCTCCCCACTCTGTCTCTGGTGAATCCTGTCACCCTCCGCATCTCTGGCCTGTACCCCAGTTCTGTATGAATAAATAAATCTTAAAAAAAAAAAAAACTTCATAGCATAGACGACATTTATCCCTTTGTTGACAGCTGAAGGATTCAAAGAGAAATTAAGATACAAACCAATGAAAAAGTGGTAAACTATTCAGATTCTAAGAAAATGATTTATTTTTCTGGAGGATGGACAATTTACCAATATATAAATATGGAGCTTGGATTAGGTAAGACACGATCTCTCAGAGATCTAATGGTTTAGAAGATGTGAAACAGAAAATGAAGGGGGTCATAAGAAAAATGCTCCTGAAGAAAGATAACAATGAAGTCTAGGGAAAAAACAGATTAGAGGGGTAAAGAAAGTTTTGCAACACCTCCACTTCCCAAAAGTATTATCTTTTAGAGGTGAGAGAGGCAAAAAGTTAAAATAAAGACATTTTAACTATGAATACTTGAAAGTGTTCTTATGAATAGAACTACCAGTTAAAACCATATGGGCTCACTTTAAAAATATAAATAAAAAACTGACTCTACCTAACCAGGGATGTTAGACATGTCCACACATATGGCAATGTCATTCATTGGTTACTGCCCTGGACCCTCTATCATTCAGATGTCAACTACAATTGTGCTCCCAGGATTTACCCGTGATACTCATAGCCAGAGCTCTCATGCAGAGCTCTCAAACAAGAATAAAGTAGAGAATCTTATTTAACAGGATAGTAGTAGCCTGGATCCATTACCAGTCCAATACTAAATTATACTTCAGGGACTCCACATTATACTGCTCACCCCAATAATGCTACTCCACTTGTACCCTCAGCCAACTCCTACTCACTCTTCAGATATCTGTCTATTCCTTTGTTATGACTGTTTCCCTTGCTACATCAAAAACTCAAGAGGGCAAACACTGCATTTATCTCATTTTGGCACTTCTGTGAAATATATTTTTGTTAAGTAAAAGATTACATGAGCAGTGAATGCAAATACAGTGATTTTCAAACCAAGAAACACTAGGTTTCATAATCATTTGCTAATAAGATAATGTTCACCCTCTCTTGCTATCGTTAAAAACTCATAATCTACAGCAGTATACTTCGTCGATCTGCCTGTTCTGTTCCCCACTCGGTCTCTGGTGAAACCTCTCACCGCCCCTAAGCCTCTGGCCTGTACCCCAGTTCTGTATGCACAAATAAATAAATCTTAAAAAAAAAATTTTAAAAACTCATAATCTGATGATAAAGCCTTATTTCCACATTCCTGTTGTCACACAAAAACAACAAAAACCCACCTTTCCAAAGGCAGAATTAGAAACTCTAAATTCCAATGGACTTTTGTTGTTTAAAAAATTATGTGGATTTGGCCCTCCCTGTTGGCGCAGAGGGTCAAAGCACAGCACTACGAAGCTAAAGCCACTTCAGCATGAGTTCGATCCCCGCTTGCCCTGGAGGTGACCACATGGCCCGGCAGATCTCTCCTGACCCGCCCGCTGCTCCCCTCAGCAGTGTGTTTCCTTGATCTGCCTGTTCCGCTCCCCACTGTCTCAAGTGAAGCCTCTCACCACCCCACACCTCTGGCCTATACCCCAGTTCTATATGCATAAATCAATAAATCTTTAAAAAAAATTTTAATTAAAAAAATTATGTAGATTCACAAATGTATTCATACTAACACGTGCCTTTTCCCATGACAGTGAGTTCAATAATTGAGTCTGATCTTCCAGATTCTTCTCGAATACTATTTTTAATTATGATACATTTTCATTAACTTAAAAGATAGCAATTTCTTTAAAATATATTCCATTCTTAAAAGTGACTGCTGATATCAAGACAATTAAGGGGAGTACATTACAGAGGTAATACCCAATAGCATTAACTCAGTTAAAAATTAATTAACTAATGGAAAACTATGTTGCAGTTAAAAAAAAAAAGGTTGGGGGGGGGGGCAGGTTGGGGCCAAAGTCAGAGCTTTAGAAAAGCAGACATAGAACAATGAAATGTTGAACGTGCAAACTTCCTATGGTGGTGGTATGGTAAACATTCAACCAAAATGTCACTAAGCCATAGCAATCAATGTATGGCATCATGTGTGAAACTGACATTCATTCACAGCAAATGCTTACAATTAACCAAGAGCTAGCTTGTAAATACTTACATAATCATCCCTAGGAGCCACAACAGATTTACAAATACAAGGCAAGACAATCCTTCTATTATTGTTACAGTAGAGAAAATGTTTTGTAATTTTTTTTTATAAAGATTTATTTATTTATTCACACAGAACTGGGGTATAGGCCAGAGATGCGGAGGGTGAGAGGATTCACCAGAGACAGAGTGGGGAGCAGAACAGGCAGATGGACGGAGTATACAGCAAGCAGGCAGGAGAGGTCTGCCACGCCATGTGGTCACCTCCGGGGGCAGGCGGGGATCGAACTCATGTGGAAGTGGCTTAAGCTTCTTAGTGCTATGCTTTAACCCACTGCGCCACCAGGGAGGGCCCATGTTTTGTAATTTTAAGTTTCAAAAAAGTAGAACAAGGGCCCTCCCTGGTGGCGCAATGGGTTAAAGCACAGCACTATAAAGCTATCATAGCCACTGCAGCACAAGTTCGATCCCAAGCCAGGGATGTGACCCACATGGTGTTTTAGACCTCTCCTGACCCACCCGCTGCTCCCCTCTGCCTCAGCAGTCCATCTGCCTGTTCTACTCCCCACTCTGTCTCTGGTGAATCCTCTTACTCCCTACCCCCAACAACTCTAGCCTGTACCCCAGTTCTATACGCATAAATAAAATCTTTAAAAAAAAAAAAAGTAGGACAAAGTCTCCAGTGAAAATTCTCAAACTGAAAAGAAGACGGAGGATCACAACTGGCTGTATAACAAACAACAATGTAGACAAAATGACTGAGGTCCAGGGAAAACGATCTCTAGAGGTTTTCCATATTTGGCCTTCTGCTACTCAATATAATTACTAATGATAAATTAAAAACCATAAAGCTTACTTCCGCTGAAGATGAAACAAAGCTGTTTTTATTTGGTACCAATATATGAGTTCACAAAGTGAGGTCTACAGAAGAGATTGGAAGCCAAAGTTTTTGGCTAGTAACATGAAAAGGGCTTCAATCTCAGCTGTCTCCAGTCTCAAGGGCCAGCAACACAAGGTAGCTGACAAAATAAAAAAGTTCACTTCCAGCTTCACAAGTTGAAAGGGACAGAAAGAAAAATAGGAATGCAAAAGGTCTGAAGACCATGTCAAATAAAAGAAACAGCTGATGTAACTATATATACTTAAGCCTGGGGTGGGGGTAGAATCAAGATGATTATGATGGTATTCTTCAGACACATAAAAGTTTACAACATGAAAGAAATAATGTTAGGCTCTAAGACAAATAACTAGTATTGCATAGATTTTACAAGAAAATGCTTTTAACTTTTATAAAAAATGAGCTATACAAAGATGAAAGGACTGGTCAATGATATAGTAAACTTATCCACAAGATAGGTATTTTCCACAAGAAATGGGCATAAGAGACAGAGTTTTAATGATCTCTGGTGCCACTATTAAAGTTATTGTCCTAAGCATAAGGTTAATAACAAAAAGTATAAGAAAAATGGGACTTGTTTGAAAAGGGAGGAAAAAAAGAAATACCTGAGGAGATATTTATGGGAGATTGTTTGGTTAACCAGAATAAAATATATATATTATTATTATTATTATTATTATTATTATGAGACTTTTGTCATAATAATATATATATATTATTATGAGACTTTTGTCATAATATATGTACATATATAATATACATATATGTATGTATATATATAATATATATATATGTATATATATATTATGACAAAAGTCTCATAATAAACAAGGGGAAAGGAAATTAAGTCAACCAGATCAGACTACACTATTAACACATAAATAAAAACAACAAAAAGGAACAAAGAATGCAACATGGTCTATCTACAACCAAGTTAGTCCAATTAGGTTACAGGCAGAAAATTCTTATACATAAATCACAGGATGAAAACAACCGTTTGATTAAGGAGGGTGATTAGTCTAAAGTAGGACAAGGTTCCATAGGATTAACCCAAAGGGATAAGCAGAATAGATTTAATTAAATACATGTGTAAACACATGTACGCAGTACAATTATGTAAGCACTAAATGAGAAACAAATAGCTGAGATGAAAAAGTATTGAAAATCCTCCCATGGCTTATAATCAAGTACAGAAGAGATATATTAAATGTATATAACTACTAAGAGGATTTAGTCCTTAAGTGGTCACCATAGTCAAACTACTAGTAATCATTAAAACAAGTAAAATTACAAGAAAAATAGGAACAGAATGCAAAAAAAAACTAAAGAATTAACAAAATGAGGTCATAAAGCGTAAGAAAATTATGTGTGCCTGTTATTTATATAACCATTTAAAGATCAAAATTTTAACTTACAGTAGAAAAATTAACATATCAATTAATTGTTAATTAATCCAGTGTAAGTGATAACATAATTAAGATGTCCCTTTCACTCAGTCCTTTTTTTGAAAAGGCAAACTAACATCAATATTTGTGACATTTAGACTCAAAGCAAAAACTGATTATCACCAAATGTAAAATAACAATTAGTTTTCCACTTACTGTGCAAAACAGGACTTCTCCATTATCATGTTGAAAGATGATCTTATGTAATTATTCTGAAAACTATTTACTTAAAGGAGTTACAGAAAATGTTCTTAATAGTTCAACCCAAATAGTTAGGAAATCAACTACTTATGTATATGTATACACATAAAGGGATTTCCCAGAAAAAACTTTTTTCTTAAGACTTACTTGTCTTTCAAACTAAGTAACTTATGAAAACAAACATAAGGCATTAACAACTTCCTATGTTCCACTTCATTCAATTTCCCTCCATATTTCATTATCTTTTCCTGCTTCCAAATATCAAAGGGTGGGAAGTGCATGGAATTGTTTGAGACAGGAGCAGCACATCGTGGTTGCTCTATATTTCACCTCAAGAATTACAGTGCTGACTACCAACAAGCAAAAAAAACAAAAAGTTCTTTAAAATTTGCTTTAAAGAAGAAATGGCAAAAATAAGACTATTTTACCAGCTGCTATTCGAAATAATTTAGCAGACTCACTAAACAGCTGCCAAATATAAATCTCAAACCTCCACTTTCCTCATGTTTTGTTTAAAAGGGTTCATAATCAGGGCCCTCCCTGGTGGCGCAGCGGGTTAAAGCCCAGCAATAAGAAGCTTAAGCCACTTCCGCATGAGTTCGATCCCCGCCTGCCCCGGAGGAGATCCACATGGCGAGGCAGACCTCTCCTGACCCGCCCGCTGCTCCCCTCAGCAGTGTACTTCGTCGATCTGCCTGTTCTGCTCCCCACTCTGTCTCTGGTAAAGCCTCTCACCCTCCGCATCTCTGGCCTGTATCCCAGTTCTGTATGAATAAATAAATCTTTAAAAAAAAAAAAAAGGGTTCATAATCAGTTTCCAAAGACACTTTTCTGAAGTCATTAATACATCTGCATTTAAGTCCTACACATACAAAAAGTATGTTCCCAGAAAGCATTTGGCTAATGTTGGATATTTATGTGTGTGCACGTGAGGGTGCATTAGAGTGGGAGGTTGTTAATCTTCTTGAAGGGGGATGTGGGCTGAAAGTGAAGCAAAGGAGAAAATACCAAACTGTTTAGCACTGAACTCCCCTGTAAAAACTTTCAGTTCCTTTGACCTAATCCAAGATCATTTTAAGTGATCAGGAATACATAAGTGACTATATTTGTTTTAAATCCTTCAAATAGCATTCTTCTGCATACCATTTATATACAGGTATACAAAAATATCTTTTTTGGAAGACCCATTCCATCTAACAGTAAAAAAAAAAACCTGATAAATGTTTGTTAAATACAGGAATCCAGTAACAGGTATAAGGAAGACAATCTGACCATTTGAGATGTCTTTCCATCACTTTCAGTACATAGAAGGAAAAGGGTTATTAAACTGAAAGTCTTACTATTCAAAAAAAATTTAATATGAAGGAAGTTAAACAGGGGAAAAAAGGAAATATCCTAGACTTTACTGGTTTCTAGACTTTGATTTATAATTCCTTCTACCTGGGAGCTACTTCTCCACTTGTATAAATTCAGAATAAAACATGAATCCAAATGTCACTTCGTCCATATATTCTTCCAACCTCAGAGGAACCTGCTCATGTTAACTCTTAAATCAGAAGGCACGAGGAAATGTTGTAACTGCAAACAATAGGGGCCTAGGCAAATAATTCAGAAAAGCTTTATCCAGAAAAGAAGTTGCTTCATTTGTTTATTCCAACACATACTAAGCAACTCCCCAGGACAATAGGCTCCGGCCCCCAAAACATATGTGCAGGCATACCAGTTAAAACTTAACAACAAACTAGACAGCAGAAGAATGGACCTGTGGCAGATTGTACCACTAAATTACTCTTTAGGAGTAAACGTACATTTTTCACATAAAACACAGTATTGAATATATAACAATGACACCTAGTGACAGGAGACAACAGGGGTCCCAGCAGCTCAGGAACCAGCTGGAAATACAGGTGTGGATGACTTCTGACATGATTACAAACCTGCTTTGCTTCTGCCATACTCAAAAACTAGACACAAGCTGGAAACAGTGCCAAAAGGGTAGGTACAGTGTTTATTACACTATAGTCTTTCTTGTTAGCTGTTAATTTTTGGAAACTGTTAAAACAAACATCTCTAAGTCAATCTAATTCAGTATATTCTTATCAGCGGAGGTTGTAAAAGAAGAAAGACTGTCTCAGAAATACATACTTCTATGCTGAGACTGGTGGAAAGAATATGATTTGCTTCTTTCTGGAGAGTAGCTTCTACTGCTGACACTGGAGCCAGACCTGCTGTGTGGAGAATCCTTTCGGCCTACAGGTGATTCTCTGAAAAAAGGAGCATCTCTTTTATGAGGAGACCGGTCCCTCACATAATGGGAAGAGTAGAAGCTTTTTCTTCGGAATCCATCTCTCATATCCCTTTGGAGAAAAAATATAAAATAAGTTAATTATACCCTGTATTCTGTATGCATAGGAGTTCTGTTTATCAGCTATTCTTTATGTTGTGCTTTCTTTTTCACCACCTAACTTCTGAATCATTCCACAAAAAGAGCATTTTGTAAATGAAGTGAGGTTTTAGAATGCATTTTGTCATAAAAATGAGCAAGGAGATTAAGTTACTTAATTCTAAGCATGCACAGATTTTAGTGAAAAGAGTCATACAAATGCTACCTCTAGTTTCCATTAACAACACACTACACGCACTATCACTGACCTAGGGAATGCCACAGACTTCCCCAGTGAGACGGTCCATGGCTTGTTACCCTGTTCTAAATACAGCATACACTACTGGTTTTCAGCTGGTGCAATCTTGCCTCCCTGGTGACAAATTAACAATGCTGTTATCAAAACAGGAGGGGACAGGACAGGAGGGCAACCACAGGTGGAAGGGATGCTGCTAAAATCCCACAAGGCCCAGGCCAGTTCCCAGATAAACAATAAAAAACTACCCAACCCCAAATGTTAACAAGTCCTCATAGGGATCTATCAAGTATTTGCTCTCCAAGTTTTATCTCTAGTGTATTAATTTTTGCCCATCTCTAAGTACCAATGTTGTATGAATCACCTCTACTTTTACACATTAAGACATTTTGCTGAGCAATCCCATCAAGTCAGAGCAAAAAATGTGAGTAGTAAAATTTCATAAAGCAAAACTCTTTCAAACATCAAAGTAAATCAAAATTATTCAACTATCAAGAATCATGCCTCTATTTAAAATCTTAGAATCAAAACAGGTTTTAAAAGAAGATTTAGCAAATATTCCACCATATTAAAATTAAAGAACACTAAATCTCAGATGGAAAACGCCAAGAGACACACCAAGGCTGGCTGAGGAACTGCACGTAAGTGTACTCTGTGGACTCACTGGACATGGAGTCTGACTAAAGAATAAGAGATGGGGTGCCATGCTGAATCCCAGAATTCTGAAAGGCTAAATTACTGAAATGAGAAAAACAGACTTGGAAAATAAAGCTGGGGTGTATGGCTCAAATTCAAACTGAACAGATTAGGGTTGAGATATTCATGTAACACCCTAGTAGGCAGAACTAGAGCTATCGGCAACACACTCAAAATGAGATTTTTGGCTGTAAATATAAACTTGTCTGTAAACAGACAGTATTTAAAGACATGGGTATGGAAGACAATAATCAATGAGAAGAGCAGAGGGCCCAGAGAACTATCACATTGTTAGGAAAACCTATGCAGTGAAAGAACAACAGGATGGTCAAACAAGAGGGTACCTGGACAGCAAGTTACCAGAGAAGTCATGGAAGTGCTCCCAGAAGAGTAAAGGTTTTATTTACTACAATAAAATTAAATGAACTATCATTGATAACTTGGTTAGGAGATACTAATACACAAGACCAGACTCAAAGATGGTCTGCAGAGAGAAACAAAGGATGAAATGCTGAGCTAAACATTCCTATTTCTGACTTCTGACAGCAGGTGGCGGTAAAATCACAGGATCTAATCTAATCTAATCCTTTACAACCAAGATGGAAAAAATGTACAAAATGAAAAATGATGTTTCATATATATATGCATGTGCATACATACACACACACACACAATTCAGAAAATGAAAAGGATCACAGGACAGTTCAGAACTACCAGTGAGACCAGAAGTGGCCTGATAAACCTCGTCGAAGAAAAAGTCAGATTTTAATGTCTCTCGGATCCTCATATGTCAACCTCTTCTAGATTGCACCAGATTAAGCAAAACATTACAGTAAATATCATCTATCATATCTTCTTGATAAAGTAGTAATATTAGCTCTTTGGTAGGGTATATTTATATCCCTACACATTTTGGGGTAGGGGGGAGGAAGAGAAGCAGAAGGATAGTCCAGAAAAGGGAGTTGGGGGGCACAGCATCATTATTTAAACCATCAGAAGGGAAATATGTATTGGTAAATAGAAAACTGGCAGGGTGGCAGTGGCAGGATCACTTAGGAAAGATGAGATAAAAATGTATATTATCTAATAGAAATATAAATTGAGCCACAGATGCAGTATCCATGTATAAAAGGTAAAGAAAATACATAGAATAAATTTAAGCAATATCTTTTACTTAACCCAACATAGCCAAAATACCATTACATTAGTAACCAATATTTTAAAATTTACAAGTTGTTTGATGTTCTGTTTCATCTTAAATCTTGAGACTCCAGTGTGTATTTCACACTGGCTGAGTATTCAGTCTGAAATTTCAAGTGCTCAGTAAGTGTGGACAGCAGGGGGCTCTCATATTGGGCAGCACAGACTTGGGTGGCAGGAAACCAACCAAAACTTGAAGAAAAAGCAGAGGGATTAAAGGGCTTTCGGACTACAGAAGTAGTCCAAAAAGTGAAAATATGAAAAAGCAGTGACCACACAGCAAAAGAAATAGTTTTATAGGAAAGGCTGGCTAATGACAAATAGCACAGAGACTGAAAGAGATCTCTGTTTGTCACATGACCAAGCAACTGGTTGTCCTGGAAATTAAAGCAGACTGGAAGAAATTTAGACCTACTGGAAATATTACACCATTCTTTTCTTATAAAAATTTTACAGAAGGAAGAGGAAAGAACAGTATTTTAAGAGTAGGGGTTTACTTGAGCATATATGAATGTGAACCTCCTCTGGGAGATAAAAATGACAATCTAAGACACAAAAATGCTACCTGATAAAGTCAATAGGAGAAAATGAGACAAAGGAATCATGAAAAAGACAAAGTTATTGATACAAAGACAGAAAGAAATGAAAAGGATAAAGAGGAAAATTCTCGTTTTTAGAAACTCACAGCACTCTTTCTTAGGTCTTTATATCAGTAAAGTGCTTACAGGGGTCATGAATAGAAAGTAAAGTGTCATACTGACTAGAAATCAGAGGCAGAGCGAAAAGCTCTCTTCCCAGGAAAAGTATCAGGAGAAGCAAAATCTCTGAATGGCAGAGCCCTCAGACCTGCCTCAGCCAACACAAACTCAGGGAAGTAAGACTACACCTACTTAATCAACAATTCTGAGGGTGAGACCCAGGATTCAGCGATTTTAAAAAAGTCTAACTGATGATTCTAATTAGAGAACATAACACAGAAGAGCCCAAACTCAAGAGCTCATAAGAGATAGAATAATTCTCAGTGAAGATTCTAGGATTTGACTGTGCTTAAATATAACCAAGGAAAAGAGCTGAAACCCACACCCCCAAGAAAGACTAGTGTAAAAAATATCATCCAATCCAGACAGAGAGGGGTCAACAAGATTATGAGTTAGAAATTGTAAGACTCAAGGAACAAGAAATGGTGTCTAAAAAATACAAAGATGAGGCTCTCCCTGGTGACACAACAGGTTAGGGCGCAGCACTGTAAGCTAGCCGCCAGACACAGCCGCTTCAATGCTGAGCTTGATCCCCGGCCCCAGAGGTGACCCACATACCACAGGGGACCATAAATAAATAAAAATCTTTTTAAAAAATACAAAGGTGAAGACAGGTGTTATAAATTGGTAATATCAAGGATGACAATGGAGCAAAGCATAATGTATGACCAGAACTCACATCAAGTACCAAAAAGTTAGGAGGCAAAAGGTTTCATTCTTGGAAAGTTAGGTTAAAACTCTGAGGTGAGACCCAGGGTTCAATGTTTTATCTGAGCAAAAGAGAAAGAATGGAAGGAATGATTTAGAATATACCCATTCTATTTTGACTCCACAGAGTGAAGCCTACATTCCAAAGGAGAATAGGGTATAAATAAAACATTTCATAGTGACAAGTACGGTAAAAAAGGGTAGATTATGGATGTTCTTTTAAACAGGGTCATCAGGGAGGCCCTCCCTAAGAAAGTGAAGTATGGGTAGAATGCACAAGAGGCACAGAACCTGACCAAAAAGGGTGTGGTGAAAAGATGTGATTTTTTTTTTAAAGATTTATTTATTTGTGCATACAGATCTGGGGTACAGGCCAGGGGCTCAGGGGCAGCGAGAGGCTTCACCAGAGACTGAGTGGGGAGCAGAACAGGCAGATCGACGAAGTACACTGCTGAAGAGAGCAGCGGGCGGGTAAGAAGAGGTCTGCCACGCCCTGGGTCACCTCCAGGGCAGGCGGGAATGGAACTCACGCAGCGAACTCACGCAGAAATGGCTTTAGCTTCTTAGTGCTGTGCTTTAACCCTCTGTGCCACCAGGGAGGGCTGATTTTTTTTTTTAAAGATTTATTTACTTATGCATACAGAACTGGGGTACAGGCCAGAGTGCAGGGGCGGTGAGAGGCTTCACCAGAGACAGAGCCAGGAGCAGAACAGACAGATCACACTGTGGAGGAGAGCAGTGGGAGGGTCAGGAGAGGTCTGCCATACCTTGTGGTCATCTCTGGGGCTGAGATCAAACTCATGCTGAAGTGGCTTTAGCTTATTGGTGCCGTGCTTTAATCCAATGCGCCACCAGGGAGGGCTGAAAAGATGTGATGTTTATGTTTCCACTGATCACTTCAATTGCTCTGTTAAGGCATTCTATGTTGACAAGAAGGGCATGATGAGGAATGCTTAAGAGTGTACAGAATTACAGTTTCAACTGTAACACTAGCTCAGTACATAGAGCTTATCGCCCAAGAGAGGCCTTCTGTGAACTAACCTCCTAAGTACTAAAAGACCCTTCCAAAGTCACCTTTAACTTTATTACCTTGAGCAAGGTAGTTAACCACCTCCCACATGCCTTAATTCCTCATCTTTAAAGTGGAGATAAAAATAGTACCTATAGGGCCCTCCCTGGTGGCGCAGCGGGTTAAAGCACAGCACTGAGAAGCCAAAGCCACTTCCGCATGAGTTCGATTCCCGCCTGCCCTGGAGGTGACCACATGGTGTGACAGACCTCTCCTGACAGGCCCGCTGCTCCCCTCAGCAGTGTACTTCGTCGATCTGCCTGTTCTGCTCCCCACTCTGTCTCTGG